TTGTTTGTGCTGGCACTAGGGCTTGGACTCAAGGTCAAGACACTCTCCCTTAGATTGGTTCTGCTTAAGGCTGGTGCTCTACCCCTTGAACCACACCTCTGCTTCCACAAAGAATTCTCTATATAGAATGCTACTTCTAGGAATTTATTATCCAAATGTATTTTCATATCACAAAGAAGGGTTATAGCAAGTAATTCACTTATGGATTATAATGCGCATAATATTTTATCTGACAGCATTGTACTAGGTAAGAATAGGAAATAATTCAATCTGTAGTGAGAAATATTTTGAAATTGCTAAACCAGTATTCCAGAAAAAACAAAGAGAGCAGAAGAAATACCACAATGTAGCCACACAGTGGACTGGGCCACCACTGTAAAGGAATGAAACTGCTTTCCAGGTAGTGGGGATAGAAACTTCTTAGAGGAGAATAACTGGGAATGCATTGTTGTTATCTGCAAAATGAAAGAAACACTGGAAGAAACAGAGCAGATAAAATAGATGGGTATCGGGACCACAACAATGCTTCCCAAGGCATAACTGTGTTTGATTGAATGGTTTGATTGTTGAATCATGTGAGTACTTTTATTGATTAATCTTAAAGGCAGCATGGTGTTTCACAAAAAGATATTTTCAGCACATGGAAAGTTACAAGAAATTTAGGCTGTTTCCTATTCCTTCTTATCATAAACAATATTGCTACCAATATCTTTATAGTAAATCTTTACCGGCTTCATTCATCACTATAGGATAAGGTCATAAAAACAGAATTTATACATGAACAGAGATATTTTCTTTCAAGGTTTTTTGTCTCTTTCTTTCTCTTTTATTCCCCTCCTCACCCCCTCTTGTCATGGGGCTTGAACTCAGGGCCTGGGCACTGTCCTGCAGGTTTTTTTGCTCAAGGCTAGTCCTCTACCACTTTGAGCCACAGCTTCACTTCTGGCTTCCTAGTGGTTAATTGGAGATAAGCATCTCAGAGACTTTTCTGCCCAGGCTGGCTTATGGACCACAATCCTCAGATCTCAGCCTCCTGAGTAGCTAGGATTACAGGCATGAAACATCAGTACTTGGCATTTCTTTTCTTCATTGTACTGAGGATTAAACCCAGGATTTCATACCTGTGAGGTAAGTGCTCTCTCTCACCTGAGCTATGCCCAAGCACTCAAGGCTCTGTGTGTGTGTGTGTGTGTGTGTGTGTGTGTGTTTGCGCACGCATGCACGCGCGCACGTGCACAAATGTATGAATCAAGCTCCAGAGAATCTGTATCCATTTTGGTGATTTTTTTTTGAAGTTTACTTATATATAACCCTTACAAACCTGGAGACTTACGTGTTGTTCCAGAAATGAACCACTTTCAAAAAACACGATTCAAATATCAAAAGTAATTTAAAAGAAATTATTAAAAATCTCAGCCAGGCGCCTGTGGCTCACACCTGTAATCCTAGCTACTCAGAAGGATGAGATCTGAGGATCATAATTCAAAGCCAGCCTGGGCAAGAAAGTCCATGAGACTCTTATCTCCAATAAAGCACTAGAAAACTGGAAGTGGCACTGTGGCTCAAGAGGTAGAATGCTCACCTTGAGCTGAAGAGCTGAGGGACAGCGCCCAGGCCCACAGTTCAAGCCCATGACTGGAAAAAAAAAATCTGATCTTCTTCATAAGCCCTGAGCTGTTTCTCGTCCACACACAGCAGACACACTGACAGATAATCTGAGTAGGATGGCAAGATCAGAGTAGGGGAGTTGGATTACTAAGTTAATGCAAGGTTGGCAGTCCCAGCTTGATCCACCAATGCAATCCTCTCATTTTGCCACCTAGTATCTCTGCAATGTTAGTCTGAGGTGCTATTAATTCTCTCTAGTTCCTGAGTTGATAATAATAATGGAGTGGATAATGGAATGTGATTTTTGAGTGCTCTGGTTTCAAGGTGGTTTGCTCTCTAGGGACTCACATGTTGGAAATGTGATCCTCTGTGGTGATATTACAAGGTGATGAAGCTTTAAAAGTTGGAGCCAGGCAGGGTACCAGTGGCTCAAGCCTGTAACCTTAGCTACTCAGAAGGCTGAGATCTGCAGCTTGCAGTTCAAAGCCAGCCGGGTCAGGAATGTCCACGAGACTCTTATCTCCAATTACCACCAAAAAACCAGAAGTGGCGCTGTGGCTCAAAGTGGTAGAGCATTAGCCTTGAGAAGAGAGAGCCAGGGCCAGTGCCCAGGCCCTGAGTTCAAGCTCCACAACCAACAAAATAAAGGAAAGGGGGGTAGATGGAGCCTATCAGGAGGTCTTAGGTCATTTGAGGCATGTCCTTGGAGGGGACTGACATGGTTCTCTTGGTATCCTGGCTTGCATTGTCTTCCTACCTCCTTCACACATATGTTCCCATCATGATAACACCCACCATTAGAACCTCACTAAAGCTGAGCCAATGTCAGTACTGTTCCTATAAACCTCCAACACTATAAGCTAAATTGATCTCTTTTCTTTATTAAAAAAAAAATACCCAGCTCAGGTACACTGTGACAGTAACAAAAATCTTAATAATGGTAGGGCATTCCAATTTAATATTTTCAATATACCTCACTTGTTGAAGCTCATGACATAGGTTTTCCATGATTTCTCGGGTAGTGTGATCCCCAGTTGTCCACAGGGCTCCCTGCTTGCTAATCCATCATGTATTGGTTCTTCTCCCTCCTTATCTCTTATCTACCCTACTGGTATCTCCCTAGAACCATCTCCCAATTAACTGCCTGCACTCAGGTTTGTCTTGGAATCTTCTGGGAAACCTGAACTCAGACACTTGCACCCCACACCCGTGTGATAACTCAGAGAATGCCACAAAAGCATCAGAGAAAGTTCCAAGTGTCTACCCTCCATATACATAAAAGAATGGGTACAGTCTAGGAAGGGTAAAATCTTGAAGAAGCTTAATGGTACACACCTATAAACTGTATGTATATAGGAGAATCACAGTCCCAGGCTATCCCTGAACAAAAGTAAAGAGGCCCTATCAGAAAAAGAAAGGGCAGGGGGCATGCTTCAAGGGGTAGAGCACCTGCCTGGCAGATGGAAGGTCCTGAGTTCAAATCCTATTATTGCCATGAAATAAGTAACTCTTTGCATGAAAGTTGATAGGCATGCACAAAGCCTTTGAAAGAACCTTCCAAAGAGTGTGCCCCGGTGTTGTAACAAGTCATCCCATGAGCACCTTCTCCACATAACAGAACCTTCTGCCTCCACTTTGGGAGGCTGCCATGTCCAAACTGTAGCCCTTCCCTGAAAGGAATTTAGCAAGTGGGGGCTTCCGTCCCTGGTCATGATGAGGAGATGTCAGAAGAGCAACAGAAGAATAGGTTATTTCCATCTAGAGAGGAAGAGCAGGAGACACCCACCCAAAAAAAGGCCTTTCAGGTCATCTACCTAGGAATTTTAACCTAGATGTGTTCTCCTCAGCCGACACAGGCTTTTCTGCTGCAACAAGCCCAGTGCCATAGCTTATGAAAGTCTCAAGTTCTCTTGAAGCACAGAAAGATCTAAAGAGGGCTGGGAAGGTGGCTCAGTGGTAGAGCACTTGCCTTGCATGCATGAGGCCCTGGGTTCGATTCCTCAGCACCACATAAGCAAAAAGAAAAATAAAGCCGGAAGTGGCACTGTGGCTCAAGTGGTAGAGTGCTAGCCTTGAGCTGAAGAGCTGAGGGACAGCACCCCGGCCCAGAGTTCAGGCCCCACGACCGGACCCCAAAAAAGAAAGAAAGAAAAAAGAAAGATCTAAAGAGGTGGAGTCCAGATTCTAACCTGTCATTAATGGGTGAGGGGTTGGTTAGCAGGGGGAGGGATGTCTATTAACCTTTCCCTCTTCTGCCACAGTTCCCCAGGTCCAATTCTGCACAGAGCTTGCAAGCTGGGCCTTTGGTTTTGCAGCTTCAACCTTTAGCCCTAAGGACCAGGGAGGTGGAGGCACTTGAAGTCGGAGACTGTCAGAAATAAAACAGAGGGCTCTGGAGGGGGATTGTCCATGAACAAGCAAAGAACATGACAGCAGTGGTCAGCGCAGACCTTGAGTGAGGGCCACAGGATAGAAGCTTTGTGCAGGGCCAGCTGGCCTCCCCCTCCCCACCCCCATCTCCTTCGTCCTCAACTTCCTCCTCCTCCAGCTGCACTTAAGGCCCACCTTGCTCTGTAGGAGCCTTCCCTGCAGCGCGGGCTTGCAGCTTGTGCCTGGCCCTGGGCACCTGCAGAAAACAGGACAATCTGACCTGCATGGGCGATTTGATGCGGAACCACAGCGGGACGTCGAGGGCCCTGCTCTGTCGAGAAACTTGCCGCAGTTGACACCTGGCCTCTGAGTTCCCTTTCACACCTGGATGCCAGGGCTTAGAAATCTGCAAGTGGATGGGACGGGGTCTGGACTGCAGCCAGGGAGCGAAGCCAGGAGCCGATCCTCGCGCTGGGGCTGGGAGGCCGTGGGGGGATTGGAGGGGACTCAGGGGGCGGAGTTGAGCAGGGGGCGGGACGAAGAGCCTGGAGCTGGGTCCGAGGCTGTGGGATGAACTACCCGGACGAGTCTCCAACTCCAGGTAGAGAGGGGCGAGGCGAAGCCAGGCGCAGGGCAGCGCTGAGCCGGGCGGGGTGGGGGAAAAACAGGGACCGGCACGCGCGCGCGCGCGGCGCCTCTGCAAATACAAACCCAGGTCCCCAAGGTGGAGACCTAACGGCCCGGCCCGATCCCACCCACCCCGCGACCCTCACGACCATCGGGGCTTCGGGGTGCACAGAGAGGAGCCCCCCTCTTCCCCTCCGGGGACAGGTAAGTGCCCAGATCCGCGCGATCGAGCTGGAGACGCGGCGGTTGGGGCGGGGGACGTCCCCCTAACGAAGGGGCTGCGACGCCCGCTTTTTCTTACACCGAGGTGATCGGGGCTGTTTCGCCCTCCGCGTCCCCCCCCCGCCTGCTATTCTCAGTCTGTGCAGGCTGTCTGGAGACACGCGGGGAGACACCCCACCTCCTGGGTCCCTCCTGGACCCTCAGGGGTTTGGGGACCTCGGACTGGCTGGCAGGGGCCGCACGACGCAGAGAGGTAAGCAGAAAGAGGCAAACACCTCTGGGAAGACTCCTGCGCCCCCTTGTCCTTCCCCCACCCACCCCACTACCCTCCCTCCCCCCGTAGATTTCTCCCGGTCGGGAAGTCCTGCAGGCTCGGCTTGTCCAGCGCGGAATTCTGATCTGATGTCTGTTCCCGCCAGGGCGGCGCCTCCCAAGTCCGCGCGTCCGCGCCCGGTGATTCGCAAGGGAAAAGAGGGGAGCGGAAAGGGACTGCGCCCCCAGTCACAGGCGGGGAGCACGCCCTGCAAAAATAGGAGCGCCCGGCGTCTCCCTGACACGTGCGTCCTTTCGTCTTGGTTGGGGGAATGGAGAGATGATGCGGGGCGCAAATGCAGAGCTGAACAGGACGCCCGCTCCTCTGTCTGTCCCGCACTGAACAGTCTGCAGAGACTGGGCCTTGTGTGAGACCGAGAGGCCATCCGGAGGGAGGACGTTCTCAGTGTGTAGACACCCCTGAAATGTGAACCACACCAGCCTCTGCAGGTGTGATGACGGATGCGGAAGGTAGCTCATGGCTAGTAGGATGGCCACTCGAGTGCGTGGTACCTCCTGAGAGCTAGTACTTCAGAGACTTTGTTTTCTCTCGCGTGGACATCTGGGGGGCACTAACAATATAAAGGCCTCCTTGAGCAATTGAAGGACAGTCTGCCCTTCAACTCTGGGGACTTGGATGATCTCTCACCTCACCTCTATCCTTAGGGGTGTTTTAGGTTCAGCTAGGTCTTAGAGCTGCCCAACCCCAGCCAGAACTTCCCCAGGATGCAGGAGGCAGGAGGTAGAAGCTCTGGAAGATGGAAGGCCTCCACTGGCTGGGCAGCTATCAGGGTTGGAAACGCTAAGATGTCCATGAAGAATATTCCTCTTTGCCCCTTTCCCCATTCTCATTTCAGTGCTGCCTGCCTCTCTCTTTCTCTTCCTCTCTCTCTTTCTCTCTCTCTCTCTCTCACACACACACACATACACACACACAATCTCACACACACATACAATATCTCATGCACACCTAATCTCACACACATACAATCTCATACACAATCTCACACACATACATAAACACACACACATATACACATCTACACCACAAGCCCCCAGTACTCCCTTAGGGGGGTCTCCCATCAGTTTTCCAAGACTTCCCCACAGCTGGCTCAGGCTTCCATGGCAGTCACAATGTCACACCATAAATTGGCCAGGATGAAGATCTTTCCCTCCAACACAAGGCAGGGATCCCTCTATCCCAGCCAAACCATGGACTTGGAAATCACCAAAACCATTTTCATGTGGCCAGCCTGAGTCATCCTGCTCTCCCCAAGTCTCTGTCTTCCTGCAAACCACATTCCTGCTGCCCAGTCCTGGCCCTGGCATAGAGCTGGGACTAAACAGGAGTTTGTCCAAGGATGAATAGGGATCCCCTCAGGGATGCCAAGGGTGGAGAGGGCTGTGTGAGTGATAGCATGCTCCTGCTTCTCCCTGGTTGTTTGGAAACCCACTCTGGAAGAAATCCTTTGTGTCCTTACCTTGCCCCCCACTATTCTGCATCTGCTTCCCCATCCCCTTTCCCAGTGCTCCACTCAGAGCCAACCCTGACTAAGAGACACCATGCCTTGCCACCAAGGTCTGTGTCCTCTGGAAGTGATGGCTGCTCTGGTTGGAAACTCTGGAGAGATGCCACCAGCTAGTCTCCAACGTGCTGTCTATTGCTTGCATCTCCTTCCAGGATTCAGGATGGTATGTCAACTCTCCCCAAGGATGTGAGCATGATGCTAGGTGCTTTCTGACCCTGTAGAGAAGATCTGGACACCCCCAGGTCAGAGGAAGATCCCCACTCATCCCCCTCACGCAGCTCTACCTGCAAGCATCACCATGGCAGCCCAGAATGGAAACACTAGTTTGGCCCCCAGCTTTCATCCAACCCAAGATCAGGCAACCTCACTCCCCCTCAACTTCAGTTATGGCGATTATGATCTCCCTCTGGATGAAGATGAAGACATGACCAAGACCCGGACCTTCTTCGCAGCCAAGATTGTCATCGGTGTGGCCCTAGCAGGCATCATGCTCATCTGTGGCATTGGCAACTTTGTCTTTATCGCTGCCCTTGCCCGCTATAAGAAGTTGCGCAACCTCACCAACCTGCTCATCGCTAACCTGGCCATCTCCGACTTCCTGGTGGCCATTGTCTGCTGCCCCTTCGAGATGGACTATTATGTGGTGCGCCAGCTCTCCTGGGAGCACGGCCATGTGCTCTGTGCCTCTGTCAACTACCTGCGCACCGTCTCCCTCTACGTCTCCACCAACGCCCTGCTGGCCATCGCTATTGACAGGTGAGGACCTTGGACAGGGATCAAAGGACCTGAGCCAAATGGGATGTCTTCTCTTTTCCTGCAGCTGTGACAGGCAGGTATGACTAATGGTCTGTGGAAGGGTGAGAGGGGACTGATTCTGCAGCTGTGTTCTGTTCCCCTAGACGTGGGAAGGTAGAAGCCTCCTGAGCGCCCTTTCCTGTCTCTGGCTCTAGCCATGCCTTCAGACACAGGCAAGTCCATGACAGTGTCTGGGATTAGACACAAAGGCCGAAGCAGAGAGCGAGGTAACTGTTCTTTCAAAGTCATGGGAGAGTCCACTAAAGTAGCTTCTTTTCAAGGCCATCTATACCAAGCTTTTCCTATAGCCAGACTGAGATGCAGAATGTTTCCAAGGCCTTGAAAATCTGTTCATTCCTCTTACCAATAAACCCTCCCATCCCAGGTGACCAGGGATTTAATTTCTGTGATCATAGATTACTTTCCTCTCTTCCTTAGCTTCATTAAAACAAAAAAAAAGGAATCATGCAGTAGGTAATCTTGTTTCCAGTGACTTTTTCTACTGCTGATTTTAAAACAAGAAGCAAGATTTGTTGACAGAAGTGAAGAAAGGATATGCTTGCTTTTGCTTTTTTTTAAATATACATCTGCGTGCTCATTTGCATGCATTTGCATGTGATGTTCCAGAAGTCCTTTCTCTATTATAAATTTATTTTTTTAATGTATAATAGCAGCTAGTGACAAGTTCTATGCACCTTTCATTTATGTCGGTGGCTGCAGGCCAGCAGCAGGTCATCTGTGACTCTGAGGGGGACGGTTAGTGTCATATACTCTTGGTTGCTGGCCCCTCTTTAGAGCTGTGCTGGAATTCACTTTGATAATGTGTGTCATCATCCTTTGTCCTCTCTGTCCTCTTCATTCTCAGCACTGTTTAGGTTCATTGTCCTTTTTAATCAACCACTTAATTAGTTCTCAGCTCCGGTAATAAAATACGCGTATTGGTACAAGATAAATCTCCCTTTTTATAGCATGATACCTGCAAGGAAAAGCAATTTTATTACAACCCACAGGCGCTACAGCTCAGAAGCCAGCATTTATGAACTTACCAACTGACTATCTTTCCCGGGGAAGATAACACAAGGTCTCCTTTGATACAGTGATTCCTAGTCCCATTCTTGGGCCCTACCTCCCCTGCTGAATAGGAATACCTTGGGCTGGGTCCCAGGTAGGTGAATTGTGTTGAGATTCTGTCGGTGATTCTGCTGTTAGCCAAAGTGAGAGTGCTCTCTCTTTTCATCTCTTGTCCTGTTATAAGCCTAGTGGAATTTGCCTTGTTGTTGTAACACTGGAGTTTCTTGGGATGCAATCACCAAACAACAGAGACAGCACAACAGACAACAGAGTTGCTGCTTTTTTTTTAACCCCAAACCAACTCTGCCTCACGCAGCACCACCACTCTCCTTGTGAGCCACCAGAAATGACTATTACCTCTGCCTTTAATAAATACTATCCTCTCCCCCCACCCCTTAAGTTCTAAGCCAATTGAAAAATAAGCCAAATGGTTGGAAAGATGGCAGACCTTCACCTTTGTCCTGCCAATGCTGATTTGGGAAAATGGGGCTTTCCTCTGGAGGACTACTTCATGCTCAGCCCCAGAATTAGCTAGGCATGCACACCCTGTGAGAAGTATAGTCCATCCTGTGCACTTGATTCTTGGCCAAGTTACACCTGTTCTGTTACATAGAAACCTAATAGGGCCAACTAGTGTTATCCCTGTAAACTATAGGCAGGGAATAGGTGGGTTCCTGCAGAAGAGGTGTTCAAAAAAAATTAAATCATAGAAAGTCAAAGAAACCATGACTTTGAGTTATTAGTCACTTTTCTCATTGCTGTGACCAAATATTTAATCAAAACAAATATTTGTGTATATGTATGTATGCATGTATCTATCTATAGACATCTATTTATAGATATCTATCTATAGATATCTATCTTCAGATATCTATATCTATCTCTATCTCTAGATATAGAGATAGATAGATACTTAGTTCCATGGACCTCACCAAGCATCATGGCAGCTGAAACATGTGGTGAAAGAGTTTCTTTATGGTGGACAGGAAGTACAGAAAGGGAATACAGGATAGACTGGGAAGAATATACCCACAAGGACCTGCTCTCACACTGACATACTGCCTCCAGCTATGTCCTGCCTCCTAAAGACAGGACCAGAACCTAAAAGTTCCATAATTTCCCAAAAATGAGGCACCAGCTAGGGATCAAGTGTTTAAAATATGAGCCTGTGGAGTATAAGGACATTTTATAATCAAGAAACACATTCAAACAGATAGGTGGTAATAAGACTATGCAGATGTCTCTCTTGCCAGCGAATGAGTCATGGGAAGTGCAAGCAAAGTGCTAGAGCCACCCCATGACTTAGAACTTGACAAACATCCTGACAGACTGCCAATAAAGTTGTTACGGATCCCCATTTCACAGTTGCAGAAACCAAGTCCCATGAGCATAAGGGATTAATCTAAGTGCACAGCTTGGATCATCTTTCTGAATACATCCTAGGCCAGTGTTCCTTTCTTTCTGATTTAACTGATGACAACTCTGAATTTTGGGAACATCATACAGAGTGTGGAAGATGCTATTATGTGCCAAAGAATTTGAATTTAAGATAATGTGGAATTTCCTCTGGCATTCCCTAGGAAGATAGTGTGCATGACGGGAGCAGACTGAGAGAGAGCTAGTAAATTCTGACTTTGTCTTGCATCGTATGAGAACTGTGCATTATCTAAAGACCTTGGATAAGCAGAATAATGACCCCAAGGATAACTAATGGCCCAAGCCTGTATATATGTTATATTAATTGCCAAAGGGGAAATAAAGCAACAGGTGAAATGAAAGTTGCTAATCAGCTGATCCTAAAGCAGAGCAGTGATACTGTTTAACTTAGGTGAGACTAATGTGATCACAAAGATTCTTAACTAGAAAAGGGAGCAGCTACTATCAGAGTGACACAAAATGAAGATTCCACTGGGCATTGTTGGCTTTCAGCAGGTTATGTGCCAAGAAATACAAGCAGCCTTAGAAAAAGGGGGTTAAGGGGAAGGAAAGCTGGGTAAAAGAAATCCTCAGAGCACCAGGCATTAGTGGCTCACGCCTGTAATCCTAGCTACTCCAGAGGCTGAGATCTGAGGATTGCAGTTCAAAGCCTGCTCAGGCAGGAAAGTCCATGAGACTTACCTCTTAATTAAACACCAGAAAACCATTAAGTGCTGCTGTGGCTCAAAGTGGTAGAGTGCTAGCTTTAGTGAAAAAGCTCAAGGACAGAGTCCAGGCCCTGAGTTCAAGCCCCATGACAAAAAAAAAAGCCCTCAGAGATTCTCCAGGGCATCTAGTTCACAGGTTTATAAGACCTGTGAAATCATTTGATACTTGACAGGACATATACATAATGCTTCTTATCAGCATATCTACCTGTATTTATAACTTGGTATAGCCCATAATGATGTTACAAATATCCAATGGCCTATGGCAGAAAAAGAAAGGTTCACCATCCCAGCTTTAGAGCCTCCAGAAAGGAATGCGGCCCAGCCAACATCTTAATTTGAGCCCAGCGAACCCATGTCAGATGTCTGACCTCTGAAACTATAAGATAATAATTTGTGTCATTTTAAGCCATTATGTTTGTAGTCACTTGTTACAGAGGCAACATGATCATCCCAGAGAGACAGTGATTAGGAGATAGCCCTGCCCCAGTCTAGGATGAGCCAGTACATTTGTCTCCCTCTTCAGCATCATCGTAAAGATGAGCTCATTCTCATAGCACTCTGACCTTTTCTTTCCTGGGCAGTGTGGGTCATTGAAAGAACATGGGTGATGCCTTGTGGTGTTGAGATGACTTCATACACCTTCTCATTGGAGTGTGAGACATCCCAGGGAGGTGAACATAAAAGCTTTGTATCAAGAGCCTTGATTCTGGTATCCGCATAATCATAGGACTGGGCAGAATACTTACTTCCCATAAGAGTCCTGACTTTTACCACACACTACTCTTACCTTTCAGCCACCTAGTTGAAGGCAGAGAAAACCCTAGTCTACTATATGAAAAAAAATGTCCTCCTCTTCCCCAGGTTGGCGGGGGGGGGGGGGGGGTGTCCAGCCCACCTTCACTTCTAAACCATGAGAACACAGACCTTTGAGAGAATTTGTTCTCAGGCAGAATGACAAGATTAGAAAACAAAGGATAACCATTCATCACAGATCCTGTATGTTTATGAACTGATAGCAAGCATTATCATCTATAAATTCACAGACACCCTGTGAGGTACCATTTTATTGAAGGATTGCACTTGAAGAGATGAATCTCAGAGAGATAAAATCATTTGTCCCCAGCCCCCAAAGTCAATCAGGAGAAATGTCAAAACCTATTCAACCTGTGTGCCCTCAAATGCCAAATGAGATTGCTGTAAGATGTAGGTAGGTGAATCTGGGTAGTGGGTACATGCAAATTCACTGCACCATTTCTGGGTGTGTGTGCATGCACGTGTGTGTGTGTGTGTGTGTGTGTGTGTGTGTATTCAGGCTCGGTTATAACTAATTTGTGCACTATGGATGTGCACTTGCTGAGCATGTGAAAAGCCCTGGTTCAATCGCCAGCATTGCAGGGGGGAGGAGGGAGGAAAAAAAAATCATGTTTCCAAGTATTGATCATCATTGCCATTGGCTTTCCTCTCCCTCCAGATACCTGGCCATCGTTCACCCCTTGAAACCACGGATGAATTATCAAACGGCCTCGTTTCTGATTGCCCTGGTCTGGGTGGTATCTATCCTCATCGCCATCCCATCTGCCTATTTCACCACAGAAACGGTCCTTGTTATTGTCAAGAGCCAGGAGAAGATCTTCTGTGGCCAGATCTGGCCAGTGGACCAGCAGCTCTATTATAAGTCCTACTTCCTCTTTATCTTCGGCCTGGAGTTTGTGGGTCCGGTGGTCACCATGACCCTATGCTATGCCAGGATCTCCCAGGAGCTGTGGTTCAAGGCAGTCCCAGGTTTCCAGACCGAGCAGATCCGCAAGCGTCTGCGCTGCCGCCGGAAGACGGTCCTGGTGCTCATGTGCATCCTCACGGCCTACGTGCTGTGCTGGGCACCCTTCTACGGCTTCACCATCGTGCGAGACTTCTTCCCCACCGTGTTCGTGAAGGAGAAGCACTACCTCACTGCCTTCTACGTGGTCGAGTGCATCGCCATGAGCAACAGCATGATCAACACCGTGTGCTTCGTCACCGTCAAGAACAACACCATGAAGTACTTCAAGAAGATGCTGCTGCTGCACTGGCAGCCCTCCCAGCACGGAAGCAAGTCCAGTGCCGAGCTGGACCTCAAAACCAGCGTGGTGCCTGCCACCGAGGAGGTGGACTGTATCAGGTTGAAGTGATCTGCGTGAACTCACAAGTCAGTCTTCAGAGCATCACCTGCCATCCACCAAGCTCACAAGTTTCATGGGCAAAGGCAATTCATTCAAGTCTTCCTGTCTTCAAAGATCCCGATGCTTGTGTGCCATTCCATGCAGAGGCTTAGATGCAAACCACAGCCACTGGTTACTGATATCTGCACAACATCTACTGAGTTGATACTGAATGCAAGGGACCAAACGCCTGCCTACTATAGACAAACCATACCCGTGAGATCGCTCAGAGATGACAGAAGCTGGCCTCTACTGACTGCTCATTACATGCAGACACATTGAAAAGCAAAACAAAATGGCGGAAGCTCATGAAGAGTCACCAAGCTATCACTTAGATATCTCATATCTAGAAACAAACCACAAGTGGTTAGCGGAACTTGAACTCCGAGTTCTCTCATTCTGTGATCTTATCAGCATGAGAATGACAAATGGCTATGGAAAGAGGCACCTACACCCAATTGAAATGGAAGGATAGGTTCATCAGTGTAGAGCTTACATCCTCACAGCAAGAGAGGTCAAGACAGCACATTGACCTTCCTACCCAGCTCCTATTATCTCCTGAGATATCCTCCAGGACTAGGGCTGGCAGAAAAGTTTTTCTTGCAACCAAGCCACGCCTGCTGTGCCTATCTACAATGAGATGATTTCAAAGGAGAGGAAATATTATAATCATTCTGTTGGATGAAGATGGGCAAGGCTGAGACAAGACCCACCTCCAGGTCCCAATACTTCAGTGCAAAGGATTTCAGGAGCTCTGTGGTCAGGGAGTAATGGGACAGAGAAAGGAATGGGGTTGACACTGGCAGTAACAAACATAGTCTCTATGGCCATTTACTGAGACTTGAACCATTTCCTAAATCACACTTCTTTAACAAAAAGATCTCTACTTGGAATCCAGTCCTGACTCTGGGGACTCATGTGACCGAAATGTCTCCTCTCTGAGTGACTCAGTTTTCCTTAAATGAAATGAAGATAATGAAAGCATCTGCTCTTCCTGATTGATAGGACTATCGAGAGAGCATTGTGGTTATAATGTGTTATTTTCAATTGTGCATAAGAATGGATAACTGATACAGACGTTTGTTTGGAGGGTTTGTTTGGAAACCTCTTCCACTGTAGTTTATTATGGAGAAATATCTCCATTTCTCATGCAAGAATCTTTGGGACAGAGAGCCCTGAACTCTTTACACAGGAACCTAGCTAGTGTGTTTTGGTTTTGGATTTTTTTTTTAATTCCTCTCTTCAAGCTCCAGGACCAACACATACACACACACACACACACACACACACATACACACACATCCCTCCCCCAGGAAATAATTTTTTTAAAAAAGTGATGGTCAGGCTCTCAGCATCCTCCTAGTCTTCAAGATGTTGACAGTCTTTCTGACCTGCTGTCATCAGCCCTCTCTATGGCTGCATAAATATAATTTCTGAATCCATTTGTATTATTACACATCAGGGAGAGGAGCAAGAAGGGGTTTTATCTTCATTTCATCCCGTTTGCAGCAGAGACTGTTTAAATGGTAGCTGGTTTGACACTGATCCATCTGCCTTTGGTCCACTTCTAACTTTTGGTAGAGAAAGAGTTATTTAGTTGTTTGCTGGTGTGAGTTTTAAATTGTTTGTTGATTTGTTTCTCTAACAGATTCACCCCAGAAAATGCAAATTCACACAGGATGCTAGTAGCTCATGTCTGTAACCCTAACTACTTAGGAGGCTGGGAGTTGAGGATCAAGGTTCCAAGCCAGCCTGGGTAGAAAAATGCCAGGAAACTCTTATCTCCAATTAACCAGCAAAGAGCCAGAAGTAGAGAAGTGGCTCAAGTGTAAAACACCAGCCTTGATTTAAAAGCCAAGCAAGAGCTCAAGGCCCTGAGTTTAAAATCCAGTACTGGTATTTTTTAAAAATCCAAATATTAGTCTACACAAAATTGTTTATAAATTCTGATTTTAACAGAACTGTACTTTGCATCCCAAAGCAAAACAAAGAAGCATTTTGGGTCCTGTACAAATATAATCATTTTGCTGTTATAAATATTCTGATTATCCTGTTCTTCTCCTAATAAGAAAGTTCCTTGCCGGGCACTGGTGGCTCACACCTGTAATCCTAGCTAATCAGGAGACTGAGATCTGAGGACCGTGGTTTAAAGCCAGTTGGAGCAAAAACGTCTGTAAGACTCTTATCTCCAATTAACACCAGAAAACCAGAAGTAGCACTGTGGCTCAAGTGGTTGAGTGCTCACCTTGAGCTGAAGAGCTCAGAGACAGTGCCCTGGCCCAGAGTTCAAGACCCACAACCGACAAAAAAATATCCTTAAGAGTAGATCAAGTGTGTTGGAGCCATGGTGCAGTGGGTAGAGCCCTAGACAATAAACAAAAGTGTCAGGTACTGAGTTTAAGTCCCACTCTCAGACCTAAAAAAAAAAAAAAGGAAAAGAGGGCTGGGAAGGTGGCTCAGTAGTAGAGCACTAGCCTTTCATGCCTGAGGCCCTGGGTTCGATTCCTCAGCACCACATAAGCAAAAAGAAAAAAGCCGGAAGTGGCGCTGTGGCTCAAGTGGTAGAGCACTAGCCTTGAGCTGAAGAGCTGAGGGACAGCCCCAAGGCCCAAAGTTCAAGCCCCATGACCGGACCCAAAAAAAAAAAGGGAAAAGAGTAAACAAAGAACCAGTTGCATCTGTTAACCAAATTCATCTGCATTTTATCATAAAATGTATCATCTTCCTTTCATGTAAATTCAGCTGAAAAAAACTCTTGTTAAAAAAAAAACTCTTGTAAATAGTATCAATGAGTATTTGTGATTTTTTCCAGTGAATAAATAGGTTATCAAATGGAAAATTAACATATAGAATCTTAATCACAGTGTTCAAGTGGTTCTCTGCTAATTGTAGTATGTTTAGATAGAAATGAAGTAACAGCCATCTCAACAGCTCAACCATGAAACAGAAGGAGCTTACGAAAGTTATTTTTAGAATAGTGATGGTGTATAGCAACATCATGACAGTGACTTTTTTCAAGCTTATCTCTTTGTCCTGTACTCTTGTGTGCAAGTAACCAAGGAACCATTGTACTATGTCAATGTCATCCCTTCATTTTAAAACCACGGTGTTTGTTTAAACGTAAACTGCTGTTTGCATGGAGATTATTCATTCCTCTAACTGGAATTAAGCTAATAAATTAACTTCAGTGTGTTCACTTTTTTTCCCCTCAAGACTAATTAATAGGAAGCTTAAGATACTTTTACTAGACAAATGCTCTATCACTTGAGTCATGCCCTTAAAGCTACTTTTAACATGCTAATAATGCTTATACCTACTATTGTACATTGAAAATTAATCTAATTTAGGAAAAAAAACCAGATTCCTTGCCCCAAATAGGAGAAAAAAAATGACTCTGTAATGAAGCTATTCAGGATTTTTTTTCTCAGTCCCCAACAATTAAAATAAGTTGCTTCTCAAATTGGAGAAATCTAGAGACATCCCTTCAGGCATGAAAACCAACTCCAGGGAAGAAAATGACAATTGGAAGATGATTAGAAAAGTTAAGTATGCTTCTGCCAGAAAATGATGGATCTAAAACACATCCTCCCAATTAAACTATTATCTGTCCCTTAGGCTCACGATGACACAGGGACACACACACACACACACACACACACCAGAATACCAACCAGGTCAGGCCTTTAAGAACATATAATTCACCAGGCAATGGTGGCTCATGCCTTGTAATCCTACCTACTCAGGAGACTGAGATCTGAGGATTGCAGTTCAAAGCCACCCTGGGCAGGAAAGTCCTTAGGACTCTTATCTCCAATTAACCACCAGAAAATCGGAAGTGGCACTGTGGTTCAAGTGGTAGAACGTTCACTTTGAGCTGAAGAGTTCAAGGCCCACAACTCACACACACACACACACATCCAGAAGTGGAGCTGTGGCTCAATTGGTAGAGCCCTAGCCTTGAGCACAAAGAAGATCAGGGGCAGCGCCCAAGCTCTGAGTTCAAGCCCCACAACCGCAAAAATAAAAAAGAACAGATAGCTCATATAATCCCCTCCTTTCTTGGGTGAGACCTGAACTCCAAGGGAGGAAATGGTTTATTTGAGTGACTAACACTTTCTGAGGCCAAAATAATTGCTCTTGAGATGTTCCTTTCAGGCAAGTGAGTACCACTCAGTGACTATACACCTGAATCCAAAGGAGCTTAAAGACCCACTAAAGTGGTATCTGGCCTCCCAGGAGTCTTAAACTGTGAGTCAAAGACCTTTCCTCTCTCTATCAAGTGTACATCCCACCCAAAGAGCCTTGCCACCCAGCTGCAGGATCCCAGGGGAACTAAAGATAATCACACCAAGACCAATCTACAGCTCCTCCCTGCTGGCCCAAGAAACAAATAAGGCTGGGGTCATGTAGATTAGTAGATTGTGAGGAGAGGCAAAGTAGCCCCAGGAAAAGCAGATGGTGGGAGAAGGAGTTTGAATTCAAAGTCAGGAGGTCTAGGCCACCCAAGAGAGAGAGTACAATCCTCACCCAGGTTACTGCAGGCTGGCCTATGCAGTGGTCATTCTTCCTGTTTCTCTGGAACTCAAGGCCTCTAGTCACGAGGCCATCTCCTTCCTGAGGCATCCCCACCAGGGACATGTCATTTCCTGGATTTCTGGGGCTCTCTTGAAGAAAAGCATGAGCTCAGCTTCTGCTTCTATTCGTTCCTTGTCAGAAATTTGGATAGCTAGCGTAAGAGGGACCTGGATACAGAAACCCCTGTGTGTGCAGTGGTGGTAGAAGGAAGGGCCACACTCTTATCCAATAAACCTTTTGCTGACCTCCATCATCTTTCTCAACCCTGTGCTAAAAGAAACCCAGGCTGTGTGTCAGCAGAGAGAAACATGGAATTCCACAGTAAATGGTTTTATTTCCTTTTAGCACAGCTTAGGCTGGCTTGTCCAATGGCTGGAATATGAGCACAATAATGGCCAGAGATTCTCCACTGATCCTACAAATGACTGACTAGGTCATCAGCCTGCAGTGTCTTATTGCCTCTCTTTATCACTAGGCCATGGAATATGACAGCCGTTTTGAATGCAACATTAGTACTTTGCTCATGTACAACAAACTGAGGAGTTGGGGTTGTTGTACTAGAAGTTAGGAAAAAATATGAACAGGAAGGGAGGCAGGGATCTGCCTCCAAGGAGGTCATGAGCTCAATCTTAATGAATCATGCTGAGTAAGCATTTAATAATTTCTGTTTATTATTATTATTTATTATACCATTGTATATTCTTCTTTATTATTATTATTATTGACATCACTTTCTAGGTTGCTGGGGCTTTCTTGAAGAGCAACATAAACCAACTTCTTTTTTGTTTTTTGTCAGTTGTGAGGCTTGAACTCAGGGCCTGGGTGTTGTCCCTGAGCTCTTTTGCTCAATCATAGTGCTCTACCACTTTAGCCACAGCTCCACTTCCAGTTTTCTGGTGGTTAATTGGAGATAAGATCTCACAGACTTTCCTGCCCAGACTGTCTTTGAACTGCAATCTCAGCCTCCTGAGTAGCTAGGATTTTAGGTGTGAGCCACCAGTGCCCAACATGAGCCAACTTCTGACTCTATATTTTTTCCCAGCAGAAACTTAGATAACTAGGAATAAAAAGTACTTTGAGGGGCTGGGAAGGTGGCTCAAGTGGTAGAGCACTAGCCTTGAGCTGAAATGCTGAGGAACAGCGCCCAGGCTCAGAGTTCAAGCCCCACAACTGGACCCAAAAAAAAAAAAAAAAAGTACTTTGAGCTGGTCGCTAGTGGCCCATGTCTGTAATCCTAGCTACTCAGGAGACAGATCTAAGGATCGCAGCTCAAAACCAGCCCAGGCAGGAACATCCATGAGACTCTTATCTCCAATTAACCACCAGAAAACCGGAAATGGCGCTGTGGCTCAAGTGATAGAGTGCTAGCCTTGAGCTGAAGAGGTGAGGGACAGCGCCCAGGCCCAGGAGTTCAAGAACCATGACCGACTGAAAAAAAAAAAAAGTACTTTGATACAGAAACAAAAACAAAAAAATGAAAGTGACCAGTTCCATGGCTCAGGTGGTAGAGTGCCATCCTGGGAACAAAAGCATCAGACAAATCCCGAGTTCAAATCTTGGTCTCTCACCCCTCTCCCTTCCACTCCTTCCTCAAAAAAAAAAAAAAAAGAGAAAACTTAACTGTGAATGAAAATTGGTTGAGAATTAGATTGACTCTAATCTCTTTGAGTTCAAACCTTGTTTGTCATAAGCCATCACT